AATTTTTAATGAGTGTGACTTCATCATCAAAAGGCCAAGGAGCCTTTGTGGCCAAGGAGCCACAAAAACAGTTGATGCTCCATTTCAACATCTAATGATAGATTTTATTGAGCTAACTCCATGTGAAGGAAAGAAATATTGCTTAGTGATTTAGATATGTTTTCAAGATGAATTGAAGCCTAACATTTTGTACATGAAATATTACAACACATTTAATGTTAACCTAATGAGGCATTGTGTCTATCGTCCACAGAACGGAGGAGCTGCTGAAAGAGAAATTAGATCCGTGAAGAAACGGGTCTGAATTGGGTCTAGGCACTACAAATTGCTTTGATGCGGATGCGCATGCGCCGCCGTAAAAAAAAAAAAAAAAAAATCTAACCTAAATCATTTTGAAATTCTCTTTGCAGGACTGCCAGAGACTCATACAACATCTACACTTACATACACTATATTGCCAAAAGTATTTGCTCACCTGCCTTGACTCACATATGAGCTTAAGTGACATCCCGTTCCTAATCCATAGGGTTCAATATGACGTCGGTCCACCCTTTGCAGCTAGAACAGCTTCAACTCTTCTGGGAAGGCTGTCCACAAGGTTTAGGAGTGTGTTTATGGGAATTTTTGACCATTCTTCCAGAAGCGCATTTGTGAGGTCGCACACTGATGTTGGACGAGAAGGCCTGGCTCTCAGTCTCCGCTCTAATTCATCCCAAAGGTGTTCTATCGGGTTGAGGTCAGGACTCTGTGCAGGCCAGTCAAGTTCATCCACACCAGACTCTGTCATCCATGTCTTTATGGACCTTGCTTTGTGCACTGGTGCACAGTCATGTTGGAAGAGGAAGGGGCCAGCTCCAAACTGTTCCCACAAAGTTGGGAGCATGGAATTGTCCAAAATGTCTTGGTATGCTGAAGCATTCAGAGTTCCTTTCACTGGAACTAAGGGGCCAAGCCCAGCTCCTGAAAAACAACCCCACACCATAATCCCCCCTCAACCAAACTTTACACTTGGCACAATGCAGTCAGACAAGTACCGTTCTCCTGGCAACCGCCAAACCCAGACCCGTCCATCAGATTGCCAGATGGAGAAGCGCGATTCGTCACTCCAGAGAACGCGTCTCCACTGCTCTAGAGTCCAGTGGCGGCGTGCTTTACACCACCGCATCCGACGCTTTGCATTGCACTTGGTGATGTATGGCTTGGATGCAGCTGCTCGACCATGGAAACCCATTCCATGAAGCTCTCTGCGCACTGTTCTTGAGCTAATCTGAAGGCCACATGAAGTTTGGAGGTCTGTAGTGATTGACTCTGCAGAAAGTTGGCGACCTCTTCGCACTATGCGCGTCAGCATCCGCTGACCCCGCTCCGTCAGTTTACGTGGCCTACCACTTCGTGGCTGAGTTGCTGTCGTTCCCAAACACTTCCATTTTCTTATAATACAGCTGACAGTTGACTGTGGAATATTTAGGAGCGAGGAAATTTCACGACTGGATTTGTTGCACAGGTGGCATCCTATCACAGTTCCACGCTGGAATTCACTGAGCTCCTGAGAGCGACCCATTCTTTCACAAATGTTTGTAAAAACAGTCTGCATGCCTAGGTGCTTGAATTTATACACCTGTGGCCATGGAAGTGATTGGAACACCTGATTCCAATAATTTGGATGGGTGAGCAAATACTTTTGGCAATATAGTGTATGATGACATAATGCTTAATTACTTAATTTCACTTACAGCCCTGCTAAAGGAAGTGGAGACCAGATACAGAGAGGACTCCCTGCACCAGTTACTAACACATTCAATGATTTACAGCCAGGAGATTTTGTCTTTATAAGAAATTGCAGGAGGAAGATTGGAGATCCTGGAGGTGGGTGGGTCTATTCCAGTTGTTGCTGACCACCTGCATAGCAGTAAATTTCGCAGAGAGAACCACCTGGGTCCACGCCTCCGACTCCCAAGAAGTTCATCGGCAGAGTACCAGACCAGGCTAAAGAAGCAGACGAATATAGCTCATCCGAGGAACTAAAGAAACAGACGAATACAGCTCAACTGGGGAACTAAAGAAACAGACGAATACAGCTCAACTGGGGAACTAAAGAAACAGACGAATACAGCTCAACAGGGGAGCTACATCAAACACTTCCATCAGGAACCTTCATCAAGCACTTTGGGTTTTTCTAAGCTGCCACCTATATCAACCTACTCAGTAGGAGCCATCCTAGCTGAGGCAGCATTAAGAAGCATGCCTGCAAGAAGCCTGCAGATACCATAGTGGCTGAAAGCTGCTATAATGTGCTGGATTTTCCTCCTGGGGTGTTTGCTCCTCACACTCTTCTTCTGACGGCCGTTCTAAACTAGCAGCTATCCAAGATCCACAGGCAGTGAGACCTGGGAACTGGGTGTTCATCAGTCATCAGAGAGACAAACTGGGCGAGTCCAATGTGGAAATGACCATTCCAAGTGCTCCTGACCACGCCTACAGCTGTGAAGATTGCAGAAAGACCATCCTGGATTCACCTCAGCCACTGCAAGTTACAGAGAGTGTTAAACATCTGAGGCTGGACCAGTAGGGAAGTCCGACTACAAAGGGGTTTGGGTTTTTAGGGCCACTCGTCTCAACGTCGGTGAAGAAATCAACTGATCCCTGTTCTTTAGAAGTCCTGGGTAAAATTAACATCTCTGCCAAAGTAGCAAAGATGGGGTTCCCATGGAGATGGGGCTTCTTTTTTTAATCAAAGCCTTGCCCCTTTGAAGGCCATGGTGATACACATTGTAGTTTCATTAAAAACTTCACATATCAGCATAACTTTGATGTTTATCATTGATATGTCAAAACAACGTTTCATTAAAACATCAAGCATAACGTTGATGTTTAAAATTTCATTAAAACATCACACAGCGGCATAACTTTGATGTTTAAAATTTCATTAAAACATCACACAGTGGCATAACTATGATGTTTAACCTTGACATGTCAAAATAACTCATCCTTGGGTTTTCCCAATGCATACATCAAAGCCTTGGGTTTTTCCAATGCCATATTTCGTCCCTCCTAATCTTATCTTCAAATCTTCAAACAGCTATGCACATATTACTTTACTTAGATACATGTTGAAGCACACCATCTGACCATTATAACACGAATATATTTATTGTGAGACATTTATCCACTATATTCTATTCATGGTGCAGTATTAATTCACTACACATCGGTACACAGGCAATGAGCTAAAACTGAAAGATCGGTCTGGATCAGAGATGTAACATTGCATATTGCCTCTCAGTGCTTATTTTTAATTCACAGTTTTATAAACAAAAAAACTCGGATTTCAGTCATCCTCTCTCGAAGCTCAGCTTCATTTACAGGGCAACAGAATTCAAGCTGTGAAAAATACTTGGAAAATATTCAAGTTGCACATCAAACTAAGGCGAGCTGGAAAATAGAAAAAATATATTTTCTTTTAAAATCTTTATCTTTTCAATTACTGCAGAGCTTGGATTCCACATTATGCAAAAAAAAAAAAAAACTCAGCTTCTCTTAAGCTTTTTTATGACACACTAGTAGCTATGTCAGAGACAATCTAATGGACCCCAGAAGCAGAACAGCAATTCACAAAGCTAAAAGCCGAACTTTTCTCAGCAACTGTCTTAGCTCTACAAAATTATCAAAAATCGTTCATCCAAACAGTTGACGGTAAAGCCAGTTATATGACCTCTGTGTTGTTACAGCCTCATGGTGATAAGCTCAAACCTGTAATGTCGTACTCTAAAGGGTTAAAGGGGACCCGTGGAAACAGTAGCTCCCCCATGTTCTTATTGTTTATCCTTATTATATTGTGTAGTTGGATGTGTGTGTATATATATATATATATATATATATATATATATATATATATATATATATATATATATATATATATATATATATATAAAACTGTAACTGGAGCGGGAAACAAAAGTAATTTCCCTCTGGGTCGGGGCTTCCTCACGGTTCTTTTCCTGGGACCAAGTTACTTACTACTCTTAACTCAAACTGGGTAAAACCATATAAAAAAGGACTATAAAACAGGAGTAAAAAAGTAACAAAGTTTATTCCAGATCAGGTCGTTACAGGACAGAGAAAGATGCTTAGAGCTTGCACAGCTGTGGGCTCAAAAATCACGTCCGCGAGCGTCCAGCAAAGATTGAGCCCCGAACAAGGTCATCTTCTGCTTCTTATAGCTCATGAGTCTATGTGTTGCATCAGGTGGATGCTTAGCTGTCCATATCAGAAACTGACACGCCATCCATGCCCTGACCTATATGCAGCTTGCTTCTATGCCTCAGGGTTACAGATAGCTCTCCTCTATCAGACCGGCTCCAAGATGTGCCCATATCCTGTGTATTTTTAAAGACACGAAGGCTGCCCTGATTAGATGACTCCGTATACACAGTGACATCCACAATGTGAAGGAAGGCCTTCTACTCTCTCTAATCTGGCTAATAAAGTAACAATGCACATGATGTATAAAGAATAAACCGAATAAACAGACAAATAGAACACTCTAAGGTGAGCTAGAAGCACTCTAAGGTGAGCTGGAAGACATAACACAAAGAGGAGCAGCTACAGTCTCAGACTTCACATGATCCACCTGAACTTATACCACAGGTTGCCGATAGGGGCCGCCCCTCCACGCTGATAGACCAGCTCTGTTTTTTTATTCAAAAACGGGCAGCTTATGAAATTTACCCGCTATTTTGGGGAGACATTGCTTAAAAGGCGGTTGTAATTATTTAATAGTCTTTTTTTATTACTTTCGTTAAAGCTTAAAACCTTAAATAACGGGTTTAACTAACAGACATAAACGCAGATGTTTGTTTCTGTTGGACGTTTGTTTAAAGTTGGGTTGAATTTCCCCGCCTTTTATGAACGACAGCGACCAAAAAGCAAACCCAGTGATATTAAACCGCCTCTCCAATAAAGCAGAGCCGTTAAATGAGCGTTTATCGTAAATAACCGACCTGTGGGCTCAGATTTAACCCGGGGCTGCAGCAGCTCCAGCAGTTTATTCCGTCGGTCGAGCTTCTGCCTTAAGTCCACAGCCTCCGCCTCGTACAGGCCAAAAGTCATTTCCACGGCCGCTAGGATCTCCGTCACGAACATGCTCTGCTTCTCGGTGATAATTTCCCTCAGAAGATGGATTTTAGACATGTTCGTCGCCATGTCTGCATCGTAGACAGCGGATCCAAGATGCTTCGCTGGTACTGCCCGAGCCGTACCATCAGTTCATCTTCTTCTTCTTCTATTGAGTTTTCTGGCAGTTTGCATCCTGTGTGCATTACCGCCATCAACTGGACGGAGATGTAATTCAGAAATATAATGTCTGTATATCTTTATATCTTCATGAAACTAAATTCTATCTATACTTACACACACGCACATACACACACTAAATTCTCCCAGCTAATTCTGTATCTTTTAAATATTTAATAAGTGCTTTAATTATCTTATCTGATTGATGCTTCCCTAATAAATCTGCCATCTTTACTGAACTCCCCATTACCCTTTCCAGTTCTTTCCTCTCTTTTGTATATTTGCTACAATAGATCAACACATGTTCTACTCCTTCGATTTCTCCGCAATAACAACAATTACCCGTTGGATGTTTCCCTATTATTTTTAGACCTGCATTTAAACTAGTATGCCCAATCCTTAACCTGTTTATCCATATTTCCTCTCTTCTACTCATTATACTGTTATATCCTATGCTAATATCTTTATGTATTTTATATAAATGTCTTCCTTTTTTTTCTAAATTCCATCTCTTCTGCCATACCTTATTTATTTTATCTTTAATAATTACTTTTATTTCTGTTCTACTTAGCGGGACATCATATTCAATTTCTCCTACTTTAACTGCTTCTTTAGCTAACTTATCTACTTTTTCATTACCTAAGATTCCTTTGTGTGCTGGAACCCATGTGAATTGAATACTTATATTTTGTTGCCTTATACCATACATTAAATAACTGACTTCATCTAAAAGATCTTGACGGCTTTCAGATTTTCCACTTTTAAAACTAGTCAGGCAAGACATTGAATCTGAACAGATAACTACATTTCTAGGCTTCACCTCCAGCACCCATTGCAATGCTAAAATAATTGCCAACATCTCTGCTGAAAAAATTGATAAATTATCTGTTGTTCTTCTCTTGATAGAAATATTTTCTTTTGGAATATATACTGCTACTCCTGTTTTACCATTTTCCTCTTTTGATGCATCTGTATATATTTGTGTCATATTTTCATACCTTACTTCTAAATGCTGCTGAATAATTTGATACAAACCTCCACAAGACTCTTCTATTTTTTTAGTTTCTAAATTTACTATTGGCATTTCGAAAAACCATGGGGCAATTTTAGATGTACTTACAGTTTTACAGTATGTTATATTACTTATCCCAGAATACTCTGCATAAATATTTCCTTCCCATCCAAAACTCCTTATATTATGGCCATATTCCCAACATTCTCTGAATATCTGTTTAGTAGGGTGATTTTCCTCATGCCCTTGTAAATTTAACCAGTAATTTATTGACAGTTTCATCCTCCTTAAGTCCAGTGGCATTTCTCCAGTAATCACTTGAAGAGCAGGAACTGGAGATGTTCGAAAAGCACCACTACATATCCTAAGCGCTTTGGCTTGGATTCTATCTAAATCTAACAACAAAGAATTTGCAGCTGATTTATAAACAATACATCCATAGTCCAACACAGATCGAATTAAAACATCATATATTCTTTTCAAGGATGAGCTAGTTGCCCCCCAGTCATTCCCTGACAAACATTTCAATATATTAATACCTTTTTTACATTTATCAATAATCTTCTGCATATGTATCTTAAATGAAAGTTTTTCATCAAACCATACACCAAGGTACCTTATCATATTTACCTGTTTCAATTCATGCCCATATAATCTAAGATCTACTGTTGGATTATCCCTTTTCCTTGAAAAACATAATACTTGTGTCTTCTCAACAGACAAACGAAACCCCCATTCGTGTGACCATCTTTCTACCGTTTTAATTGCTGATTGCATTCTATTTTTTAAATAACTAAGATTTCCTCCTCTCACCCATAATGCCCCATCATCTGCATATAATGCTTTATTAATTCTAAAATCTATATTATCAAAAATATCATTAATCATTATATTAAAAAGCACTGGACCATCAGTTCATCTGCGCATGCGCCACAAAATAAACTTCCGGGGAAGCCTAAATTTTAATTAATAAAAAAAACACCTAAAATAAGTTTTTTTCCCTCCTTAAAAACACAAAGCGTACTAAACTAAAACGTGTTAAAGGTTAGTAAAGTATTTCCTTAGAAAATAAATGCATTTGTTTTATGACTTGTTACGTAGACTCTGTACAAAGGTATTATATATATTTTGCAAATCAGCATTAATATGGATTCACAAAAGAGAGAAATGTTATTATTTAGTATTTTTATTCAATT